ATAACAAAAGTAAATTGTATCCAATCACCTAACTTTTTAATCTGTTCAAATCAACAAATCCATGTGTTTTGGCCAAGAGAGAGAAAGAAGAAAGAAAGAGACAGGAAGAAAGACAGAAAACCACTTTATATCCCAAAGAGTTTGGGCCTGATTTGAAATGAACAAGAGATTTCTCTGAAAAAATAGCCAAGAGAAATTAGAAAATGCAATGCTATGGCAAATAAAACCAAACTGCCTGCCATCAAGTCAATGCTAACTCGTAGCAAACCCCATGCGTTTCTGAGATTGTAACTGTTTACCGGGGTAGAAAACCCAGTCTCTCTCCTGCGGAGCTCTTGATGGTTTTGAACCGCTGACCATGCATAACCACTGCCCCATAGGGTTAAAAACAGATTTCTAATATGCTACAAATACAGGCATCCAGCCAAAATGAAATTTCCTGCTCTTGAGTGGAAGCTGACTCGGAATGACCCTCCCAAAGGGTAGGCTAGAAACACCCCTGTGGGTTTCTGAGACTCTGTTTTCCCAATCGTTCTCAACCTTCCCAAGGCCCCGACCCTGTCATACCGCTCCTCAGGTTGTGGTGACCCCCAACCATAAGATTATTCATCATTGTCATTTTGCTACTGTTATGAATCAGGCGACCCCCAGGTTGAGAACCGCTGTTATACAGTAATGGAAAGCCCTGCCTTTCTCCTGAGGAGTGACCGGTGGTTTGAACGTTACCTTGCAGTTAGCAGCCCAATGCATAACCACTTCACCACTAGGACTCCACAAAGACGGGCCTAGCACAAACACCTTGCTCTTGTGGTTCAGTTCCAGGCCACCCAACAAAGAGAATATTGAAATAAACCAAGTCATCTATATTCTTTTGTTTCCCAGGGAATAAAAAGTTGTTTCCACTCTACTGTCTAGCAAATATGCAATAGTATATGAAAAAGTTAGAAATATTGTCAAAATTACCAAATCTGACACAGAAATAAGTAGTGAGAATATACCATTGGGGGTGGGGCATGGAATGGAATCAATAGACAAGTTAGGGTTCCCATTAATCTTCAATTTGTAAAAATTGCAATTCTGGGAAGCATAACCAAGTGAAATGCAGTAAAATGTATGTATCTATAACGTGTTAGGGGAAAGTAATGAACATTTACAGAAAAAATAAATAGAAAATAACTAATGTAGAATATATGAAGTATGAATCTAGGAAACCTGAAAGTTGTCAAAAATTAAATGAAACATAAATATCAATACCTTAGTCAATACTGAGCTAAATAGACTGGTATTGGCCTGTTTGAATTGATAAATCTTATGGTTTATTGTTCTGGGAATGACAAATTCAAGATGAATATTGTCACACTCATCAGCAAAAAGAACGATTCAAGATCTATTTTGAATACAATACTGTATATGATAAGATAATATTTATATATCTGTAAGTATGTCTCATTAATACACTATTATTCAAATTCATACAATCAAGATGCATTGATCATTATGATGACTGGTGCATAGTTTGGAAAGAAGGAGGAAGGATCAAAGCTGGAAAATATGACCTTGGTGACAGAAACAAAGCTGGAGTGACATGATGAGCATGTTACCAGACTGACTTCTTCACTGAAAATACCTTCTTCAACAAAATTAATCACAATTATACACATGGGCCTTGA